TAGAGCCAACGTTCCTGCTTTTGTAAGTGGTATTGGCTTTGCCTGAGCTATGAGCAGGCTGCATGACTCTGAGCAAATATATTTTCTGTGCCTTGTTTATTAATGGACAGAAAAGCTAGCCTGAAAATGAAATTGATTTTATTCACTTAGGATTTTATACTCCATTGCACAACCACAACCCAGCAAATTTTTCATTAAGCGAGATAATTACTTTAATAAAGATTAAATATAATTTAAAATTCACATTTATCTTTATCTACCTAATGCAGGTCAAAATTAACCAAAAAGGGTTAGGGAAGTGGGAAGAAATGGGTTTCTCCAAAAAGCCTCTACCTGTTTGTGTAGAGATGGGGGTGATCTGACAGTCCCTGCCTTTCTTCCTCTTTCTCCTCTTCCTCTCATTTCATCTATTAGTGTCTCCACATCAAGGACAAATCAAACCTTCTGCTTTCTAATAATCTTAACTTGGGGATGTTTGGCAAAGGCAGCAGGACAGCAGCAATTAATATCTGGGATGCTCAATTGTCTATGAAAAGCTGTATCCATGATGGGCATATGGGGAAAAAACATTAAGATCAAAGAAGTGGCAGGTTGGTTTTAGAAATATTCTTCCTCCTTGAGACAGAGTATTTCTATTCCACCTGTCAAAGATAGAAAGCCAAAAATGACATTAAGCTGGTTGGTATTACTCCTAATTTCATGCCGCGTTAGAATTCTTCCTCATTAATGGCATTAGAGCATTGTTATGGAAAGAGCCAAACAGAGAGAAAAATAAGAGTTTAACTTCTAGTTTCTCCCCTTATCAAATGTATGACCTTAAAAATGTTTCTTAATTTCTCTGAGTCTGGACTCTTCATTTGTAAGATAGGACTAATGATACGCCCACCTTTACTTTAGAGATTTAGAGCACGTGGTTTTGAATGGGTATAAAAGCTCTAAACACTATAACAATGGACCGATTATCCCCAGATGACAGCAACACTTGATTCTGTAGAAGTGACCAGTGAGTTTTACCCCAGGCTCTAGCCCAAGGAGGGGTACAGGGAAGCACAAGCTTGTCAGACCCTCTAGCGCAGACAGGCATAGCCTTGAGTGTTTCAACAGTCATTTTCCAGGGAGGAAAACTAAGTCTGGTTTAGTGAGAAGGTGCAACTGACTCCCAGATGTAATATTCCAGTAATAGCTCTCATTTACTGAATACCAATGGAACATGACACGTTATATATCTTATTGAATTAGTGTGACTTTATAACTTATCATCCAAAACAGGACACTTTCAGAGTGAAAGGCAATGCTATACATAATTACATCAAAACATGTATAAATCTGGATGGTCCTAGACAAACTGAATATATGGTTGTGCAGTCACTCCATGAGTTATAAAACACTCCCTGCTCAACAGAAGGAAACTATGATTCAGAGTAGCATTCCCAAGAACATACAAACTAGCTAGTAACAGACCCAGGGCAGGAACCTCAGCCTGTAACATACTCCCTCCTTGAAACCCTTTAGTCACAATGGCAGCGGCAAAATAACAACATTAATTTTATTTGAAAGCCTGACTTTATTGAATGAGTAACATATTTCAACTCTGGACCATGACTACAACTGTTATCAAGAAAAAGGGTTAAAAAATGGTTAAAGAGAAAAAAAATGACACTAGAAAATGTAGTAATATCATAAAGAGCATTCGACTCCTTCTGAGTGCTCCATGCAGCCTGAATACCAAAGGCATGAGCTAATTATTCAAGGATGGAGGATGACAGCCAATAGGACCACATATCAATAAATGTTTTTCCCCATGTGTTGGTCTATATTGTCATGCACCCAATGAATTCCTTGATCTAGGTTAATTCACTGCTGATTTTTAGTGATATGCAATCACACACACACAAAAATTGATTCACTGAGTAACCTGCCGGGACCTATTCTTTCTCCCAGAGTTTAAGAAGTATAAGAATGTTGAGAGATGACTGACACTCAGTCCTCTCCATGGTGTTTCAGTAGGTGAAACAGATGAGTGCCACACACTCTCATCCTTTGGCCCACCTGCCAGTCACTGTTTGAGTTTTTCTTGTCTCTTTATATACCAGAAGTCAGGCCAGTCAGTCTCTATCAAAAAGCTAAGGGCATTGGCAGAGATAATAAAATTTATATTCTGGCAGAAAAACAACATCTCAAATCAGTCATAGATTCCAAGGATCTTCAGTCACAAAAATCCCTAATGAATGACAGTTTTTAGAGACCAAGAGTGCTTCTGATACCAGGAGGCGATGACCAAGTGTTCCAATTATCCTGTGAAAGATTTAAGCTTGAGACTTAATAAGAAAACCTAAGTTAAAATTCAACTCTGTTTCTCTGATGTTATGTTATCTTACCGTGTCACCCGAATACTCTGAGCTTTAGATTTTTCAGCTATAAAACATTACTTTTCTAACTATCGTGGGCCTAAAAATCACCCATAGAACTTGCTAAAACACATTCCTGGGGTCCACACTTGCAGATTCTGATGTATTAAGTCTGGTATGGGGCCACAGAATTTGCATTTCTAATAGGTTTCCAAGTCATCACGATGATAATGATGATGATGATGATGTCATCATCCATGGACCATACGTTGAGTCAGTAGCTCTAAATTCTATCAGTAATACCACCCTCAGAGTTTGTGTAAAGATCTGAAGAGATGTGATGCTCCTTAGCAGAGCTGCTGACTCATAGTGCCTCTCAGTCTACATGCACTCATTGAAGATGATGAACAAAATTCCAAGAGTGTGAGTAGGAATAAAACTCGGGACAAGTAATCATTTCTAATATGCCAGTACAAAACTTAATTACATTCCAATCTCTCTTGTTGTAATACATTCAATACGGCAATAAAAATGGGGTCTCAGTCTCAAATTGTGAACTCATTCAAGGGCCTCTCAGTTCTGTGTTTTTAATCATAAAACGCACTTTTTGCTCACAAAGTTCATGTGTCCCCTTTAAGCTCAGCTGTACCTCCAAGGCATCCAAATCCCATTTAAAATCATCTTGACTACTACTTAAGAAAGAAAACATAAATCTTCCTATTAGAACAGTTCTCGGGAAATAGATGAAGTGATATTTACTTTGCTGAAAATAGGAATTCCCCGTTATACCAATTGTCAAGCTTATGATCAGCTAGAGTCCTTCAGTTTGTCCTTGTCTAATGTAGCACAGTGATCAGGGAACTCGCCTGCCTCTACCCCCTCCCTTCATCCCAGCTTTCTCTCTTCACGACATTATTTAATCTCTCAGTTGCAGCTTCTTGGGATTAGCTACAGCATCTATTAATAGTTTTACTTCTGTTTACAGTTCCGAGGGGAGAAAAATGGCTCATTCCTTTTCTCCAATCTTGAAGATATGTCTTATTGCAGCAGGAGGAAGATGCACAGGCCCGGTGAATAACCTATTTCCACAATCATTTCACTGTAAAGATGCTAATGTGCTTCTATGCCGAATGGATCCATTTAATAGGCAGAACAAGTTGGATATAAACTCTTTAATTGCTTTCAGCACACCGATTATCTTCCTGTGTCACCTATTGTATAATGCAAAAATGTTAACAAAAGCACTTACTGAAGACATTATTGGGAATTAAAAAACAAAGAACCATCAGTTGTCACTAAATATGCCTTTCATGTTCCCAAATGAAATGCATTCGCGCACTCAAGAAATAGGAGAGAAATGTGCAGGCCTGCCATTGTCAGATGCAAACATCTTCATTAGACTTTGATCCAGCTGCTGCAAGATCTATAAAAAGAGCTATCAAAGCTGGCAACTCATTATTGGTTATTTCAGGAAAACTTCAAAAAACCATCCCTAAACCTGCACTGATCTTTTCTGACAACTGCTCTGGCCAGGCAGTTTGTTTGGAAAAGAGTGACATTAAAAACCTCTGCCAAGCCGGCCCCACAGAATGGCACTTCAAAGGACACAGTGCCTATGGCTGTGAGGAAAAAACCACAATTGCAGAGCAGACCTGTAGTCCTGGACACTTGAGCTGTAAATCTCTATCACTCCCCGCCCCCCCAACCAGATTTCCTGTTCTGATCCAACTGCACCTCCTTAAAAGCACATAAATGAAGGTAGCCAAATCCAGGTCTTTATAGACAAAAACAAAAAAGATTAATATTTGTAATGTTTCAGAACATCCTTTCTCTGTTGCAGTAAATCTTCTTATGCATATCGGCAGTCAGCTAATTTCTAGTATGTTATTTTCTGCAGACACTCACTCTTTTAAAAGAGAAAAAAGGCTAGTCAAGGGACCAAGCAGGAATGGGAAAGAAAAAGGAAAGAAGGGGAAGGAGAAAATGAAATGGGAAAGGGAGGGAAAAGAGAGTTGCAGTTCCGGGGACGGTGAACAGAGGAGGGTGTATGAAGCAAACAATGCTTGTCAAAACTACCCGCAATTCTTCCTTTGAATTCAGTTGAAACAGAAGGCACTCCACAAAGATCTGAACAGCATTCATGCTAATCACAGTCCCCAGCATCTTGACTTGGGGACTTCTTCAGTCAAGCCCAGGTCTCTAGAGGCTTTGATGGATACCAAAGAACTCACAGAAAACAATTGTCAGAGATGTCACTATCATTTATGAAGGACATTTTTCTCTTCTTGGTGTATACATCTCTATTTATGACAGAGAGAAACACAAATTATGATCACTATTATTCAGCCTCAGTAAACAAGGAGGAAAGAATACATGGACCACTAACTAAATCTACTTAAAGATATTGGCTCTGCCTTGAATTTACCCACTATAATATCTATTTTACAGTCAAAAGTAAATTGAAATACTCAAAATATGGATGTAATATCATATCCATTATTTGAATTAGGTACAAGAGCTCATTTGGGGATCAATTTATTATATTTATATTGTTATTAAAACTACTACCCAAATATTAATGCCCTTGAGACCCACGATTTATTTTTCCTTGCATATATCACCCCTGCTCCTTCAGAACTTGAACTTTTCCATGCTTGTTTTTCTAGCACGTATAATAAATGCAACAGCACAGAGAAGATTAGCACAGCCCCTGGGCAAGGATGACTTGCAAATTCACGAATCATTCCATCATTTTTATTTAAAAAAAAAGTTTATTAATTTTTAAAAACATTTAAAAAAAAGTGACCTTTCCACAGTGTTCCAGCTAGCACCTTCCCTCTGGTCAACTGCCTCAGCCCATGGTGTCAGATTGGTAAGAGCAGCAGAAGCCCAGGCCCGCCCTCCCTCCAACAAGAGTAGGATTCTGAGTTGGGACCCTACTGCCACCCGACGAGCTTTCTAAAATGTGAAACCGATAATGAGGCTCCCCCGTGTAACACCATTCAGTGATTTCCTATTGCCTTTCAGATAAAATCACATTCCTGCTGTGTGGCTACAGGCAAGTTATTAAACCTCTCTCTGGCTCAATTTCCTCTTCTATAAAATGGTGATAATAATCGTGAGGGAAATGCATGTAAAGCACTGAGCGCAAAGCTAATGAATGCTCGATGTTATTATTATTATTGATGTTATCTCACCAGCCATGTTCCTTCTCAGTTTCCCCTTTACTCTGTCTTGCAGCCAAACTGGACATGATTTCCTCTAATATCCCATAACCTTTTTGTCTTTGTGCCTTGGTCTGTGGTTTCCTTTCTGTTTGCAACACTCTCTTCATCTTCCTGACCCTGGGACAGTTTCACTCCTATTAATTTATAAACCGTCAGCTTAAATGCATATTATCAAGATGGCCATCTCTGACACCAAGGCCAGATTTGCCTCCCCCAATATGTGCATGCACCGCAAACTTCCTGTACTATAATGTGCATCATACATTACTTTTACATCTTGCTGAAATATCCATAATGATTAGGTTTGCCTTGCTCACCACTGTATTTCTCAGTAGCAAGCACAGTGGAGTCAGGGTGGATGGAATTATAATGCAATGGAAAAAGAAATCTTAGCAGGTTACATTGACAAAAGATTACCTTGATCACACTACAGTTAGTGACGGGAGAGCTCCACAGAATTTTCATGGCAAGTCCCAAGCTGATGGATGTCCCAGGCCATGGAACATTCCTGGTTTCATGGTAGAAAAAGACACAGTAATTTTTCAATGCCTTTCTTAAAGCTTCCATTCTGAAGTGGCACATTGAATTCCGCCTCATTTTACTGGCTAAAGCAAGTCATATGACCAAGCCTGCTATCAATCAGAGGGGGAATCCTTATGCAGAAAGGGCACTATAGAGAAGGAAAGTGCAGTGTTCAGTGAACTGTAATAGACACAACAGACCTCAATAAATGTTAGTTTAATAAGGTATTTTTTACTGCAAGCTGACAAACAAACACTGCCCCCCGCCCCCCACCAACCAATTGCAATCTTTCCATAGACTACTCTGTATTCAGACATTCATGTTTAGAAATTTTTAATTTTTCAAATCACTCTTCTGGTTAGAGCCATGTTTTCCGCCACAGACCCCAGTTGCATATGTATGTGGCCATAGTTCCCAAATCATACCAGTATACCACGTCTTAGTAAGGAATAACAATTAGGTTTAATAACAACAACAACAACAACAAAGTCCTCATGATTGCATTGCTTACTGTAGGCAAAAAATTAATGTGAACAAATGAAGTTCTATCCAGTCTCTTAGGAATACATGGCATAAAGGAAAACTTCAAAGTCAGTTACTCTGACCTCTCAGATGAAACCCCAAAAAGCCAAGTAACTTAACAAGTTCAAACAGCTAAGTAAAAGCAGAGCCAGGACTATAATAATATTATAAATCACCAAAGGAGAATTTGAGATCTTGATCTCCTATGAAGGGGAATCCAAAAAAAGCCCCGGAATTATCTTCTGGAGGGCAGGCCTCTTGTAGTACAGGCTTTCTCAGTTAGGTGAGTGTCCTAGGAACCAATCTGTATAGTGTGGGGAGAGGCTGCGTTCCACTTCAGAGAATTTTTTTGAAGACTCTTTCAAGACATTTGCCCATTTCATGATGGGTAATTTACAAGCATACTGTCCACACTGCGCTGAGTGGTCATCAGTTTTTGACCAAAAACAGCATGACCCCCATGCCCCACCCTCCCTATTCACCTGATCTCACCTGGAGTAAACTTTTTTTTTGTTTCTCCTAATTAAAAAGTCCTCACAGGAAAACATTTTGCTGATGTGAAAGAGGTGAAAGAAAAAATGGCAGAATCATTAAAAGGCATCAAAATCAATGAGTTCAAAAATTGTTTGAGCAGTGGAAAAAACAGCTCCACGTATGTACTGCATCAAATGGAGAGTACTTTGAAGTTGACTAAAGTTTAAACGTGTAAGAGTAAATGCACAGTTTTTTATAAGTAAATTCTGGGGTTTTTGGGTCTTCCCCAGTATGTTGTCAGTTTGGCTCAAATAAACTCCTATGAAAATTCAAAACAATAATATAAACTATAAATCATTAATTTTAAAACAAGTGCTCTTTTTAATTGCTCTTTCAATTAAAGCATATTCTTCCCATAAGGAATGTCACCACGTGTGAATGACTGGAAGAGGTCATCATCTAACAGATGAGGAAATTGAGACCCAGGAGGGTGAAGTGACTTTCTTAAAGCTATCCACATTATTAGTTATGTCTTGTTTGGCCATCCAAAACCTTAAAGTTGTTTCAGAATCTAGGACAGTACCTGCTCTTCACTAGGTGCTCAAAGGAATATTTGTTCAAATTGAACTGAACTGAACTGAATTGCCTGAGTTCAAGTGATTTGAATTGAAATCATTTCATTGAATTGAAATTACACAAAATGTAGAGATGCATTGTTTTTTTTTCTTGCCTACTCCATTGCCCATGTTTCCATTTCCCCTGCAGTTTTAGACTTGCCAAGCCAGCAAGTTACACACCACAACCATCACTTCATTAGTTTCTCTTTGTAATATCCTTGTTTCCTGCTCCTTCCTCCTTTGAGCAGACATAAATTAATATCCAGAAATCTTATCATCTCATGACATTTGCTGAACAATATGGGAACTGGAAAGCAAAATCACCAATGATAAGGGCTCCTGAAAGATCATTAGACAAAGAACTTTATTCCCTCTGAGCTAAGCAGGCCATCTAAAAAGTGACACAACCCAGATGCTCCTAAGCCACAGGAACAAATGCCATTAAGTTGCTGTCTCCTGACAACTAAGTGATATGTACGAGGTATAAGAATTAAATTTGGAGACAGAATACAGATTCTGGCTGGTCTCCAAGGCTGAGGGATATTAAAAAAGAAAGAAACAACAGTGCTGTCAAGTCTAATTGTTTAAAACATAAAACTCTTTCCATATGCCCTGAGATGAACAGAGCTGCGCTGCATTGGGATGTGCTGTGAAGTCATGCAAAGAACAGCATATACCATTGGGATTGAAAATGTTATCTGTGGGGAATTCGACTCTGCTTTCTTTTCCTTCTTTTTATGACCCATCCAAGCACTTAGACATTTGAAAATAGCTACAGGAAAAGCATATTATGAAGCCACTGTAATGCAGCACAGATTTGACTATAGTATGAGAAATAGATAGGCATGTGGTCAGGTAGAACTGGGTTCCAACCCTGACTATGCTTCTTCTTCATGTTTTATCTGACTCATTTTTTCACCTATAAATAGAGATTATATTCTTATGGCATAAGGATGTGCTAAAAATTAATGAGATAATGAATATAAAGTGACTGGCACTTAGTAGATATTCATTACAATGTACCTTTTTTTACTTTTTTCTTTAAACACATAAAGATGCAATCATCCACATGGCAAGTCCATGTAAGTCTGTGAGGAGAGGAATTTTTCACTCATTAACAATAAATTGAGAGATGCCTATGTTTCATCCCTTCAATTAATTAACATAGATTTACTGAACACTATTCACACACAAAATTCTGGTAAATCCTGTAAAGGTTACAAAGTCTTATTATACAAACTGTATGACATTAAGGCATTTGTTGAAGCCCCCTTTTTATCAGTTAAGACATTAAGTAATCAAGATTATCTGGTTTTCTAAGTGTTTTCTTTTTTAAAAAAATAGGATATATGTGTTCAGTATGGAAAAATAATAAAGAACAAACCACTTAGATTCAAGCTAGGGTTGGAGGGGTTTGTTATATATTAGATTGATTGGAAATTATTTGTTTCCAACAAGTTTTGTGGTACAGGTATATATCTATATCTTTGTCTCTGTACATCTATGTAATTGCATACATTTTTTTTTCATGGCAGAAAAAGAGCTGTGCTGGAGGTTCAAGTCCTGCCTTCCCACATTCTAATGGGAATAAGAAGTGTAACTATGTTCCTTCGAGGAATTTCAATTTCCTCATTGTAAAATTAGATTTCCTGAATAGATGATTTCTAAAGTTACTCTCATATGTGTAAGCTAAAATATATAAAACACTTACGACTCTTTAATATTGTATGTGTATGTGCATTTATGAAGTGCATGTTTTTCTCCCCCAGAGCATAACTCTACAGCAATTTCATGAAGATAAAAACCAGCATACATACACAGTTTTGTACAAGACACAAAGATGTCAATGAATGAAGGGTACTCAGAAGACTTTCAAACTGCTGTCTACTTCAGTATATCTGGAGGTGGAGCCAGGAGTAATATCAGAGCTTTTCCAGCTTGGCCCCTCAGAGACACTTCACACAACACAGACATGATTGTAGGCTGGTTGGACACACAGAATTTTGGGAGGTTTAATTGACCTCATGATGCCTTACCACACTGAACACCATTAAGCCCCATCTCGACTAGAAATAGAGAGAGGGGGAAAAAAATGCCTGGTCAGTGTGGCTCCATTGATTGGAACATCCCCGTGTGGACCCAAAGGTCATGGGTTAGATTCCTAGTCAAGGCACATGCCTATGTTGCAGGTTCGGTCCCTGGTCGGGGCACATGCAGGAAGCAGCCAATCAGTGTTTCTCTCTCACATCAATGTTTATCTCTCTCTCTCTCTCTCTCCCTCCTTTCTCTCTCTAAAATCAATGGGCATATTCTTAGGTGAGGATAAAAATATTTAAAAATGAAGTAATTCTAATTTGCATTTAAAAATAGAACTTTGTTAAGATTTTTGCAAA